TATAAAAAATTATTTATGAATATTTTTTTATTTTAAAACTTACAACAATATATTATATAAAAATAATTAAAAATTATAAGATTATACAATTATACAATATATAACAATAAAATATAAATTATATATATTTGAAATGTTTTCTTATATTTTTATAAAATGAAAAAATACCCGCACGGATGTGCGGGTTCAAAATCTAGTTTAATATTTCATCATCCATGTTTAACTCTCACTATTTAACTGATTTTCTATTTATTTATTTTTTCTTAAGAAAATATACTGTTAACTTTGATATACTATCTCTTATTTTGTCATATTCATAAAGTTTAAGATTTTAGTTGTAAGAATAAATAAATACGGTGATATGAACGGTCAATCATTTGGTTTGTATCAATTTCAAGATAAGAGTTTTCTTGTATTTACTGTATATCTAGCTATATTTATGTCTGGTGTTTATTTTTCTAGTTATTAAAATCTATTATTATAAAGTAGAGTTTTCCCTACTCTAAGACTGCCACGTCATTAATTAAGTTCCTCAAAGCATGACATTTGTCCTTCTTCATATGAATATCATCCTTTAAATTTGAATAAACATCATCTTCATTCCCCGGCAAATTCCCTGTTCCTTGAGCGTCGTACACAGATGAATCAACTCGATCCCTCACGTCAGACGGAGGTCCCGCATCATCTGACGGGAAAGTTACGAAATCAGAAAGTAATCCGTTGGAAGAATTCGATCTCTATTTCCGCCAATGAAGCGTATCGACATCCGCACCACCATTCTTCGTGGGCATAGTTACCTCTCAAGAGTCCAAATATCCATATGCACAGAAGTAGGTTTAAGAAACGGGAAAAGACACATAGAAACCAAAAAACACACTGAGGATTGTTGTTAGAGAATAAGAATCCAATTGAAAGAAAAGTGGATTCTACGAAGATTAATGAAAAGCAGAAATTGCACAAGGATGCTGATGAATCGGCGTGTCATGTCACCTTCCTTTTAACAGAATCTCGAGAGCGACGAGAGAGGAAGATGACAGCAATGGTGACGGAATATTAATCGTATAGCAGTGGAGATATTTTATTTCCCTTTTTTGTTTCTTTAAAAAATAAATACCAATTCACAACAGCTCTAATTCACTTGACGATTAGAGGTATACTACATACGA